AATATATTACTCCATACTGGTATAGAGTAGTATACCAGTGTAATATATTACTCCATACTGGTATAGAGTAGTATACCAGTGTAATATATTACTCCATACTGGTATAGAGTAGTATACCAGTGTAATATATTACTCCATACTGGTATAGAGTAGTATACCAGTGTAATATATTACTCCATACTGGTATAGAGTAGTATACCAGTGTAATATATTACTCCATACTGGTATAGAGTAGTATACCAGTGTAATATATTACTCCATACTGGTATAGAGTAGTATACCAGTGTAATATATTACTCCATACTGGTATAGAGTAGTATACCAGTGTAATATATTACTCCATACTGGTATAGAGTAGTATACCAGTGTAATATATTACTCCATACTGGTATAGAGTAGTATACCAGTGTAATATATTACTCCATACTGGTATAGAGTAGTATACCAGTGTAATATATTACTCCATACTGGTATAGAGTAGTATACCAGTGTAATATATTACTCCATACTGGTATAGAGTAGTATACCAGTGTAATATATTACTCCATACTGGTATAGAGTAGTATACCAGTGTAATATATTACTCCATACTGGTATAGAGTAGTATACCAGTGTAATATATTACTCCATACTGGTATAGAGTAGTATACCAGTGTAATATATTACTCCATACTGGTATAGAGTAGTATACCAGTGTAATATATTACTCCATACTGGTATAGAGTAGTATACCAGTGTAATATATTACTCCATACTGGTATAGAGTAGTATACCAGTGTAATATATTACTCCATACTGGTATAGAGTAGTATACCAGTGTAATATATTACTCCATACTGGTATAGAGTAGTATACCAGTGTAATATATTACTCCATACTGGTATAGAGTAGTATACCAGTGTAATATATTACTCCATACTGGTATAGAGTAGTATACCAGTGTAATATATTACTCCATACTGGTATAGAGTAGTATACCAGTGTAATATATTACTCCATACTGGTATAGAGTAGTATACTGGTATAGAGTAGTATACCAGTGTAATATATTACTCCATACTGGTATAGAGTAGTATACCAGTGTAATATATTACTCCATACTGGTATAGAGTAGTATACCAGTGTAATATATTACTCCATACTGGTATAGAGTAGTATACCAGTGTAATATATTACTCCATACTGGTATAGAGTAGTATACCAGTGTAATATATTACTCCATACTGGTATAGAGTAGTATACCAGTGTAATATATTACTCCATACTGGTATAGAGTAGTATACCAGTGTAATATATTACTCCATACTGGTATAGAGTAGTATACCAGTGTAATATATTACTCCATACTGGTATAGAGTAGTATACCAGTGTAATATATTACTCCATACTGGTATAGAGTAGTATACCAGTGTAATATATTACTCCATACTGGTATAGAGTAGTATACCAGTGTAATATATTACTCCATACTGGTATAGAGTAGTATACCAGTGTAATATATTACTCCATACTGGTATAGAGTAGTATACCAGTGTAATATATTACTCCATACTGGTATAGAGTAGTATACCAGTGTAATATATTACTCCATACTGGTATAGAGTAGTATACCAGTGTAATATATTACTCCATACTGGTATAGAGTAGTATACCAGTGTAATATATTACTCCATACTGGTATAGAGTAGTATACCAGTGTAATATATTACTCCATACTGGTATAGAGTAGTATACCAGTGTAATATATTACTCCATACTGGTATAGAGTAGTATACCAGTGTAATATATTACTCCATACTGGTATAGAGTAGTATACCAGTGTAATATATTACTCCATACTGGTATAGAGTAGTATACCAGTGTAATATATTACTCCATACTGGTATAGAGTAGTATACCAGTGTAATATATTACTCCATACTGGTATAGAGTAGTATACCAGTGTAATATATTACTCCATACTGGTATAGAGTAGTATACCAGTGTAATATATTACTCCATACTGGTATAGAGTAGTATACCAGTGTAATATATTACTCCATACTGGTATAGAGTAGTATACCAGTGTAATATATTACTCCATACTGGTATAGAGTAGTATACCAGTGTAATATATTACTCCATACTGGTATAGAGTAGTATACCAGTGTAATATATTACTCCATACTGGTATAGAGTAGTATACCAGTGTAATATATTACTCCATACTGGTATAGAGTAGTATACCAGTGTAATATATTACTCCATACTGGTATAGAGTAGTATACCAGTGTAATATATTACTCCATACTGGTATAGAGTAGTATACCAGTGTAATATATTACTCCATACTGGTATAGAGTAGTATACCAGTGTAATATATTACTCCATACTGGTATAGAGTAGTATACCAGTGTAATATATTACTCCATACTGGTATAGAGTAGTATACCAGTGTAATATATTACTCCATACTGGTATAGAGTAGTATACCAGTGTAATATATTACTCCATACTGGTATAGAGTAGTATACCAGTGTAATATATTACTCCATACTGGTATAGAGTAGTATACCAGTGTAATATATTACTCCATACTGGTATAGAGTAGTATACCAGTGTAATATATTACTCCATACTGGTATAGAGTAGTATACCAGTGTAATATATTACTCCATACTGGTATAGAGTAGTATACCAGTGTAATATATTACTCCATACTGGTATAGAGTAGTATACCAGTGTAATATATTACTCCATACTGGTATAGAGTATACCAGTGTAATATATTACCACTGGTATGTAATATATTACTCCATACTGGTATAGAGTAGTATACCAGTGTAATATATTACTCCATACTGGTATAGAGTAGTATACCAGTGTAATATATTACTCCATACTGGTATAGAGTAGTATACCAGTGTAATATATTACTCCATACTGGTATAGAGTAGTATACCAGTGTAATATATTACTCCATACTGGTATAGAGTAGTATACCAGTGTAATATATTACTCCATACTGGTATAGAGTAGTATACCAGTGTAATATATTACTCCATACTGGTATAGAGTAGTATACCAGTGTAATATATTACTCCATACTGGTATAGAGTAGTATACCAGTGTAATATATTACTCCATACTGGTATAGAGTAGTATACCAGTGTAATATATTACTCCATACTGGTATAGAGTAGTATACCAGTGTAATATATTACTCCATACTGGTATAGAGTAGTATACCAGTGTAATATATTACTCCATACTGGTATAGAGTAGTATACCAGTGTAATATATTACTCCATACTGGTATAGAGTAGTATACCAGTGTAATATATTACTCCATACTGGTATAGAGTAGTATACCAGTGTAATATATTACTCCATACTGGTATAGAGTAGTATACCAGTGTAATATATTACTCCATACTGGTATAGAGTAGTATACCAGTGTAATATATTACTCCATACTGGTATAGTAGTATACCAGTGTAATATATTACTCCATACTGGTATAGAGTAGTATACCAGTGTAATATATTACTCCATACTGGTATAGAGTAGTATACCAGTGTAATATATTACTCCATACTGGTATAGAGTAGTATACCAGTGTAATATATTACTCCATACTGGTATAGAGTAGTATACCAGTGTAATATAGTTACTCCATACTGGTATAGAGTAGTATACCAGTGTAATATATTACTCCATACTGGTATAGAGTAGTATACCAGTGTAATATATTACTCCATACTGGTATAGAGTAGTATACCAGTGTAATATATTACTCCATACTGGTATAGAGTAGTATACCAGTGTAATATATTACTCCATACTGGTATAGAGTAGTATACCAGTGTAATATATTACTCCATACTGGTATAGAGTAGTATACCAGTGTAATATATTACTCCATACTGGTATAGAGTAGTATACCAGTGTAATATATACTCCATACTGGTATAGAGTAGTATACCATACTGGTATAGAGTAGTATACCAGTGTAATATATTACTCCATACTGGTATAGAGTAGTATACCAGTGTAATATATTACTCCATACTGGTATAGAGTAGTATACCAGTGTAATATATTACTCCATACTGGTATAGAGTAGTATACCAGTGTAATATATTACTCCATACTGGTATAGAGTAGTATACCAGTGTAATATATTACTCCATACTGGTATAGAGTAGTATACCAGTGTAATATATACTCCATACTGGTATAGAGTAGTATACCAGTGTAATATATTACTCCATACTGGTATAGAGTAGTATACCAGTGTAATATATTACTCCATACTGGTATAGAGTAGTATACCAGTGTAATATATTACTCCATACTGGTATAGAGTAGTATACCAGTGTAATATATTACTCCATACTGGTATAGAGTAGTATACCAGTGTAATATATTACTCCATACTGGTATAGAGTAGTATACCAGTGTAATATATTACTCCATACTGGTATAGAGTAGTATACCAGTGTAATATATTACTCCATACTGGTATAGAGTAGTATACCAGTGTAATATATTACTCCATACTGGTATAGAGTAGTATACCAGTGTAATATATTACTCTATACTGGTATAGAGTAGTATACCAGTGTAATATATTACTCTATACTGGTATAGAGTAGTATACCAGTGTAATATATTACTCCATACTGGTATAGAGTAGTATACCAGTGTAATATATTACTCTATACTGGTATAGAGTAATGAAGTATACCAGGTAAACCAGTCATCGATTTAAACATCATACTATGTTAGGTGAATTATGTGATTTATCAAGTTATTCAATGCACATACTCTTGTAAATATTTTGCATACAAATTAATAATTCTATAGTGTAAATATATTTTTAAATTTTTTTGGTAATTTTTCATGCATAGCCAGGAATGACCATTTTTATATATAACTGCTGTCTAGGGTTAAAAGACAAGCTGCTGTGAGGACATATAATCATACTTTAAAAATAATTTTTTCTCTAAACTTGCCAGGTTGTGAAGCTTGCACGGTATCTCATCTACTTTGGATTCTACAGCTTCAATGATCTACTACGGCTGACCAAGACATTGCTATCCATCCTTGACTACTCTTTTGACACAGACTCAAAGTATTTTCCAAATAATCTTCCTCAAGGAACAATCAGCGGTAAGCCTTTTGTTTTAATATTTAAGCATGGTATTCTTAAAAAAAGGGGGGTTGAGCATTGAGTATAATAAAGTGCTCTTTCCTGAGGGGCTGACAATGGTTGACAACCTCATATGTACAAGCAGCTTGGGGCCAATACCATCTCACTAGATATCTCAGACATTGTCATTGGTCTACAACAAACAGGGACCTGAATCTTGTCTCGTCACTATTTAGAGGGAGTTGAGGGTGTCATAGGCTCCACACACAAAGGGGAAAACCCCCATCAGAAAGGCTAACAGTGAGTCACAAATACTCAAAGCACTCGAAGAAAAATGGTTGGTATGAATGAATACAAAATAAATCTCTGAACTATTCACAAACCAGCACAAAATCACCCTGGTGCTTTACTCTTCTGCCACCCGAGGGCAGCGCCAGTCTGTCCACGGTCTAGCATCATCCAGCCCATCTCCAGTTGAGCAACCATCAAGAGTCAGTGGGTAAGCATATATCAAATTGCAAGAAAAGATGGGACATTAAGAGCTCGAAGAAAGGAGTGTTTCATTAATTTGTTCAACCCACACTTCAAAAGATAGGAATGAAAATTTTAATACTAGCCTATCCTCCATTAAAACTGCCTAGGCTATAGCAGCTGTGTCAGTCGCTATATACCAAACCATACCAAGCACAGGTCAGTTCTGAACTTGGTAGACGTTCACCACCCTTCTGCTCACAATATCATACAACTAGATACTCCTCAAAGCTGCAATATATATTAATAAATTAATAAATGTGCATTAAAGCTATTGGTTTATAATGCCAAAGTTGCTTCTGAACTAAGCAGAGCAAAATATCCTCCACAATACAAGAGAGACTGGAAATCTTCGTTCACCTTCCTCTGAGTAGATAACCAAGTGCTGGATTGGACGTTACAGTCTTCCATTTGCTTAGTACTGCTGTGCTGGGCCCCACACCCAAATGAATTTACCCAGATCATTATACTAAAATACTCCTAAGTACGTTTAAATACATCACTACCGACCTTGCCTGGGACCATGTCCCAACTCACCACCTGAGATAAGGTAAGACTCGAGAGGAATACATCCTTGGGAGGAATCATTTGTGACAGATAAGATCACTCTTTTTTTTCTTACACCCTTTGCTAAGCTACATGCCAGGTAAGATAACCCTGAAACCAAAGCTGAAGCAGACTAAAAACCTTCGGACACAAAGAGACCAAGAAATACACTTGCAGAAAGTGTAACAAGGCATGAAACATAACACTGCACTATAAAAAGAACAGAATAACTAGCTGCTAGACAAAATAAACATGATCTCTGGTACCAGACAGATAGAAGGGCAACAAGAGTGTGTGTGTGTGAGGGGTCAAGGGGAAGGGACCCTGGACACTGGACCTCTGGTAGACTAGTGCTGCCATCTAGTGATGGAAGGAGGAAATAGTGAGGTGGTTTTGATTGTGTAAGTTTTCCAGGGGGAAGTTTTTCACTGGAGCTAGCGACCTAGTGAGCCCTTCACACATGTCACATCAGGCTCTTGCAAGTTTTTGGGTTCTTCCTTTTGGCTTGTTTCTAGCTCCTCAGAGTCCACTGGTTGATGTAGGTCATGGTTTCTCTTGTTTGGTGATTGTGCATTTTTGTTTCTCTCATTTGGTGTCCTAGTCTTGGCCTTTATCAATGGCTGGCTTTAGATTTGGGTTCCTTGTTGCCTGGTATGTTCCCGTTGATTGTGTTGTAGGTTTGGTTCTTGCTGGGTCTTGTTTTGTCCTCTCGGTGAACTTCCCTGCTCTTGCCACCGTTTATTCTTCCATCTGATGTTGGGGAGTGCCTGAGATTTCTCGTTTGGTGCTCGAGCAGGCTTGTGGGAGCTGGATGTGGCTTTCCTCCAGGGTAACGTTTGGCCCCTGGCTCTTTGTTGGCTTCCCTGGTTTATACCCATACTGCATTCAGGTGGACTGTCAGGTGCAGGCTTATGGCTGGCCACATTTCTCAGGCTCTTTGGGGTTTGACCTTGTACAACTTTCCTGACCTGCATTCAGCCTGTTTTGGACACCTAGACTCCAAGTTTTGGTTTTATGCCCTATGCTTATCTGGCTTCTCCGGGTTGTTGGTTGGGTCCCCCTTTCATGCATTCTGCAAGGTTCACAAGTTCACAGAGGTGTTGCTTGCTCTGCAGCTCTTTTGTCATCCTTTCACCTCCACTCTGCCTGCTTTCTAGTGCTGCCTTGTCTGTTCGAAGGAGGGGGTTACTTCAGTCCCTTCCTCCATAAGGTGGGGGGCTCAGCATTTAGTTCCTGTTCTAGTTTCTCAGGGTCTTAACTCTCCACAGGGGTTCCTATGCTAGTCATGTCCACCATTCTTGCAGATGATCTCTCGTGCTTTCACCCCATTGCCAGTGCCTCAGTGTGGGTCATTGCAACATATCCTTCTGTTGGATTCTGAAAGATGTGGGGCTGTCCTCCATTTGTCCTCTTTGTTTGCCGTGGATCATATGGCTACCTTCTTCTTTAGCTCAATTCTCAGATCATGGGGTTCTAATGGTGTTTGCCTATCAGCTGGAATTGTGTCGGTGGGTGTTCCTGTACTTCTCTCTGGTTTGGCTTTTGATCCTTGTCTTTTCCAGACTGGCATTTTTTACTAGTGGGGGTGTTTGTTTTGCATCCTTTGTATCTCCTCTGTGCTGCCTCTATGCTGCTGAAGGGTTTACCCCAGAAATCTAGCATTGAATGTAAAGAAACACCTCTTTCTTGTGGGCCCCTCGGTGGCTCCCTGTTCTCGCCCTTCCCCTTTTTTGGGGGCTCAAGTTTTTTGGCCATGACATGATTGATCTGGCGTTGCCAGTCAGTCGCTGATCTGCCACCTTGTGGTGGGAGAGTGTGACTAGTGGTGCTAATGACCTAGCTATTGTGTCCCTAGTTCTCGGGGTTTTCTCTTTTCCCTACATTGGTATGCTTTAGTGTTCTTTACATTTGTTGTGGTTTTTCCTATTAGTTATCTAATATGCCCTGCCTCACTGGATATCAGTATTCCATTTATTGAGTGGACCAGATTTTGCCTCTGGTCCTGAGTAAGCAGTAATGACTCTATAAGGCATGGTGTGACACGTGCAAGGCTGTCCTGGGAGCCACCGAAGGGCCTATCACAGAGCAGAGAGCAATTTCATTACGTTCATCTCTGATTTTTTTATTGCGTGTGATGTCTTTAACACCTTCAGCTACCTCACCCTGATGAGCGGACAGGATTCTGGTCTCTTTGGTTCGAGAATGAGAGTCTTAAGACACCTGGTGAGATTGTAGTGGCCTCAAGTGCGAGTGCATAAGCTGTGGGAAGTTACTGAGGTGGCCATCCCAAGAAAAAAAAATGGTAAGATTGATGAGTTTCTCCAGTTTAAGAGGTCTGGCAACAAGATGGTGTATGACTTGCATTATAGTAAGATATTATACTTAAGCTACTTTCTATGATTTAAATTATGTTAGCAATCAATATGCAGTATACCTGTATATGGTTTTAAACTTACTGGTAACATTACAGCATAACCAATTACCTTAGTACTTTTCTTCCAGTTGAAACATTTTGAACACTCCATCAACACTTGAAAGTTTAGAAGAGTTTTAAGACAACTTCCATTGGGGTTTAGCTCTGATTTACCACTACTAGCATTAGCTCTTTGCCAAGAGTTGCTCTATTCTTGACTGTTTATTTAACATTTAATTTGATCTGAGCTTCAAGCTTTGTTGTGCCCCAGACTTTGCCTTCTTATGCTTTTGCCCATAATTAATGGGGCATTGAGATATGCTGACTATGCCACCCACTACCACACACAGTAGCACAAATGATAATTTCACATTACAGTACAGTATTATAAATGTCACTTTATATGACGCTGGCATTGTGGGATTGTTAATCACGAGTTAACTTCAGTGGCACCCCTAAAAAGGTGTAAGCTGGAGTGATGACGTGATGGGAAGCATCACGTCATTGCTTTTGTGCATATTGCACAAAACATACTGTATCTTCATTACATTTAAAAGGAATTGTAGAAAAAAGTAAGGTGTGAATATGTTTTTTCTTGTAGCTTCCACACAGGATAACATTTACTCTTGACGCTGTCAAAAGGCTGCATGTTTCATTGATTGAGATGCTTTTTGAAGTCCAGATGTTTGATTGAACATTAGAGTATATGGGAAGTTTCTGTAGCCACCTGGTAAAATTAAGAATTTCTCATTTAACCATTTTGTCATAGCTTGCACAATTGTGACTGACAAGGGAAAAGGTTAACAGAAATCTCATTTTCTGAGTAGAGTATGTTTTAGTGATATTAGTTTAGTATGGAATATTGCTTACATTGCTTGACATAATCCCTGATTAGAACATAAATGCTGATCATTTCTTCCCACATGCTGCTGTAGATGATTCTTGTAAGGATAGTGAAGCTAAGCTTGACCAGCCAAGTACAGCTTCTATCTCGGACATCACGAGTGCTAATATTAGTCATAATGAAGCTGTTATTACTCCTAACATTGAAATTGCTTCTACTGAGAGTTGTGTTAGCACTATTGAAGAAGCTTCTAGTAATTTAAGCCTAAATGTTTCCATCACCACTGCTTGTTCCAAAGTTGAGGCCCTTAGTATGGGTAGTGTGGGCTCTAGTGTTAAAGAAGACACTTGGGTCTCAAGGACCCCTAGTCCAAAAGCTTCTCCAAAACGCTCACCCAGTAGGAAGGTGTCAGACACCAAAGAAGGTAAATTACATATATTAATTACTGTACATCTTTTGCAATAGTTTTGTGATCATAGCTCCTTAACATGACACTTAAATATTTGTCTCAAGGAAAACATTTTCTTGTGCTTCTTTGTGACTTCATAAATAAATAATTATATTCCCATAATGTAAAGTGACCTAAATTTTTACGTTATTAGGCACAAAAAATATATAAAATTTAGTTTTCTGGTTTAGACCTTACAAAACTTTTTCAGTAGTCCCCAAATTTTTTTGGTTTGAAAATTATGTTGCATGTAATGTGCTTTTCTAGGCACACAATGATAATAGGTCTGTGGACTTGAGCAGTCATTGAGGTGGGTGAAACAAGGAGATCACAGATCAACTGCACATGATCTGTGCAGAGGGCACAGATCATGTGCATATAAAAGAAGAAAAGAAAGCTATTGGTAGTCTGCTGACGTTAGTAAGCTGCTAATGCCAATACACATCACGCCGTCAGCCGGCAACACGGAACAAGCCGAGGGTTTAGCCAACCAACTATCGCTCGCATGCCACCCCTAAAACACACCCCATCCCTATGGTAATTAAGGCCATTGAAAGCTGGTAATGAGAGCTACTGAATGGCCCATACGGCCCATAAAAGGGTGTTTCAATAAATCCATCATATGATTTTTGGTGTTACCCCTCAAAATTTCCTTGTTGCATACTCAAGAACAATGGAATGAACTAACTAGAGCTGTGGAAAGCAGCAGAAAGGCAACATGACACCCACACAAGCACCACACAAGCAAGGTGAGGATGCTTGACAAATCGGCCCGGAATGGCTGGTGAATCGCCAAAAGATCCGGTCTCCCAGGGAGAACAAAGTATGATGACCTTAAACTCAAAGAAAGTGATACATTGACACACCCCCAGAATTCCAGCCAACAGAAGGAATCCAGCAGTTACCTGAATCATTCCTGGAGTGTGTTCTGGGGGTATTTCTACTTCCCCAGTCCCGGCCTGGGGTCAGGCTTCACTTGTGATAACTTGTTCCAACACTCTTGCTTGGAGTAACCCGCAGGCTTACATATCCACTACAACTTGGTTGGTTCTGCACTTCTTGCAGGAATGTGTCTAATTTTTTTCTTAAAGCCCACCTTTGTTCTAGCCATATTTCTTATGCTTGCTGGGGGGTATTGAATAGCCATGGACCTCTGATATTCATACAGTGATCTCTGATTGGGCCTATGGCATCCCTCCTGCTCATTTGTTCTAAACCACATTTCCTACCATATTGTTTACTCCAATATGTTGTTATTTTACTGTGTAAATATGGAACCTGGCCTTCCAGTATCTTCCATTTATTTATTGTGTGATACCCCTCTCATCTATATTTTTTAGAGTATATTTTGAGAACTTTGAGATGGTCCCAATAATTTATGTGCATTCTGGGGAAGCCCCCACAGTGGCTCCCTGAAGCTCTCTTTGATGTTTGCTCTGCAGATTCTGTTCTCATTTTATAATTATCTTTGGTTCAGCTTCTTCTGCCTGATACTGTCATTTCTCGTTGTTCGGCTTTGGTAGAGCCATTGTTGTTCGCATTCGGCATTGTTACTATTCCAGTGCCATTCTGCAAGTTATTTTGGGTGTTCTTTTCTGCTGGCTGGCTCTTGCTCCATCTGAGCAATCTTGGTGTTTTGACGAGGTCTTCGTCTTTCTTTCACCTTCTTGTTTGACCCTTTGTTTGGAGATATTTTCTCAGTAAGGTTTTTGTTGGCTCTCACCTCCAGGTGTCAGGTTGGGTAGTTCATACCCTCCTCCAGAGATGGGGAGTTTTGATCCTTTGGCCTTGGTGAGCAGTTTGTTTGTCTGCTGCTTTCTCCTTCTTTTCCTGTGTAGAATGAGTTGGTTCACTTCTGGGAGGGGTCATTTGGTGATTGATATTTGGTTGGTTTAGCTAGGGGTGCATTATTTGTTGTGCCTTGTGGTGACATTTCTCGTTGATGTTTATGTGCTACCAGTTCTGCCTCAGTGGATGCCTTGTTGGTTGGCCATGTTTTCCTTGGTCTCTGTTTCAAGGCTTGTTTTCCTCTGGATGTCGACTGTGTACCATACTCTGCAGTCTACCCTCAGGCCCTTGGTGTTCATAAGTGGCATTAGCTGCAATTTTCTCCACTATGTTGTGGGCCAATTTTTGGACTCGTGGGTTTTGGTGCTCTGACAGGATCCTGGTGGCCTATTATTTAATCTTGCTGGTCACTGTCAGTCCTTCTGGGGGGATACCTGTGGGCTCCCTGAAGCTATCACACTGACCAAGTGTCATACTACTTAGTATCAACATTAGTGCAGTCCTTTATGCCTACTAGAGACCATGAACTAGAACCTGGTCCCCTCAGAGAGGTGCAGGGAGCGATGGCCTATGATTACTTTTCATTTAAAGGTTATCATCTTTGCCATCACCAGGGAAGGCACCCAGGAAGATAGACAAATCAAAACTGACCACTGTAAGGTTTAAAACGAGACTGTAGCCCCCAAAATGTGTTCAAGAACTTGCCCAACAATAAAACAAAAACAACCTAAACTTTGTGAAACTAGCCCCCCTCCCCCTGCTAATTAGCTCTACCTTCCCTTTTGTTAGAGGCAGGGTGGGGGAGGGGGGTGGATGGGGTAGCTGACCCAGAGCAGTTGGGCCCTCACTGGCCAGTTCTTGACTGATGTCTGTGTCTAGTGGTTGACGTCACTCTAGCTCTGGTCTCCCATTTTCTAGTTGTGTTTTGCCTATAGGCTGTTCTCTTACAAGTAAGTTATGCGTGAGCCCGGAGTTTAGTGAACTGGAGCTGCATGTATTCAGGGTTTTCTTCCCTGTGCACTTTGTAAGTACTACCCTTGTGCGGTCAGGGTTGCCTTCCCTAGGTCCTTACCTTGAGGTTACCTTGAGGTGCTTCCGGGGCTCAACGTCCCCGCGGCCCGGTCGTCGACCAGGCCTCCTGGTTGCTGGACTGATGAACCAGGCTGTTGGACGCGGCTGCTCGCAGCCTGAGGTATGAGTCACAGCCTGGTTGATCAGGTATCCTTTGGAGCGGGGACGTTAAACACCATATTATTTTCTGTAGCCTATAGAAAGACCTGATCTACATCTGACTGGAGGTATCCTTTTAACGTGGGGACGTTAAACACCATATTATTTTCTGTAGCCCATAGAAAGACCTGATCTACATCTGACTGGAGGTTTGCCGTGTCCTCTATGTTGCCTACTCTCATGAAGATCCTAGTGTCATCTGCAAAGAATGATACAGGTCATTCGGGAAACACTCACATTAGGGGGGACTTCCATGCATAGGGTGGTCTGTGTCCCTTAAAGTAAGCCAGGGGTCTGGGACTTTATTTTACTTCAGGTTTGGAAGTGTTTTTGGCTGGTGGGGTGAACTGCAGTCTGAATGTCCTGCTTATAGCCTGCTTATAGCACAGCATGCAAGGTTTTTCCTGGCTGCTCATTTGCCACAGTTTGATCTTTGGTTTTTTTATTTTGGTGTTTTTGTTACTTTACACTTGCCTTTTGCTTAGGAGGTTCTGCTTTTTGCCTTATTAGGCATGCCTAGGATGTGTGCAGTGGAACCCCTTTGCTACCCCCTTGGCCTTTCCTTATTCTTCAAGTGGTCTGGTTGCCTGCCTTGACAGAATTTCCAGGTGTAGCTGACCCCAGTGCCTAAGTTTCCAGCAGGGCTCATTCATCCTGCAGGCCCTGGAAAACCCCCAAGGGCTTGCTTGAACTATAGATACCTTTTCTGAGCCTGCTCTCGCCTTCTCCATCAGACAGACAAACATCTAAGGATACCTGATCAACCAGGCTGTGACTCATACATCAGGCTGCGAGCAGTCGCGTCCAACAGCCTGGTTGATCAGTTCAGCAACCAGGAGGCCTGGTCGACGACCGGGCCGCGAGGACGCTAAGCCCCGGAAGCACCTCGAGGTAACCTCGAGGTAGGTAACCTCCAAATTTGAGGGTTGTTTGTCACCTCTGCTACCGAGTGATGTTCGTATGTTCTGCCTCTGCCGTGCTGCTTGTTGGGTCGGTGACACCTATGACCCTGAGTCATGTGGGACTTGTTCCCTCAAATGTGCTTCAACTCGCCCGTTCCTCTGTGGATGTTCAGAGGGATCAAGCAGCGGTTGCTTTTTATCACAGGTATTGTGTGTTGCAGTGAGTTACGTTGTGTGCCCGGTTGGATGCTGTGGATTTGTCCCATTTGATATTTAGGGATTCGGATTTGGTGATGTTAGTTGCTTCAGCCATGCTTCCGTCCACACCCCCTTATTCTCCGGCTGGCAGGTTTCGCCCTTCTCCTTCCCCCTGTATCCAGCTCCGAAGTGTCTTAGGGTTTCGGACTTGGGGCAGGGTGTTGCTCAGGATGGGGCTTGGGGAGTTCTGGAGGTTACCCCTTTTGATGTGTGCGCAAAGGCAGTTGAGCCGCTTTTTCCAGCTGAAGCTTCTGTGTCCTCCCAGCTTACTCCCTCCTTCGAAGCTTTTCCCTCGGACTCCGCCTTTCCTTCTCGGGCATTGGGCATGGATGAGTGCTCTGCCTCGGGTCCTTCGGCTGTGGTTCCCAAGGATTGGGGGACATCCTATTGGAAGTCTTGGGTTCCTTTTGATCATGGGCTTTGTCCTCTCCAGATGGTCTTCTGTTGCTGGGTGTGGGGTTTTCTTATCTTCCTTTCCTATATGAGTCCAAGTTAGGCAAGGCTTTCCACAGGGTTCATGTCCAGGTGCCCCTGGGCACTACGGATTCATCCTTCCAGATGTTCTCTGCCTCCAGGGTTTCCCCCGCAGAGGCTCGGAAGGCAGTTGGTGTTTACTTACTGTGTGATTCAGTCTACTGGAAGTGGCCTCTCTTGAGTTTGGTTCTTCCTTCTCTTAATGGGTGCGTTACGATGTACCAGTCATCCTGGGTGGTAGACTCTCCATTGCTTTCATTGGGGGCCTGGTGCAGTTTTTGCCATACCTGCATGCTTGATTGACGGGAAGTGTCTCCTGTGTTG